TCCAAAAGAGGATGATATCCTCTTCATCATGCCTAGAGCTGATCTGTGCTGGTCGCTGAGGGAATACATCAGCTTTCACCGTGGACAAAGCGGAGTCCAGCCCGGGGTCCGTCACATGTGGTTCCTGCCTATTCGTCGCATCTGCCGGGCACGCCGTTCTCGACCCCGCCGTCTCAGCTCACTCTATCCCGGCCTCAGCGCACGCTAAGCAGGGGCTTCGGCTCACGCTAGCCCGGCCTCAGCTCACTCACGCTTGAGGTATTCGGCCAATCACAACGCACTGGATAGCTGGCCAAATCACAGCACACCTCGCTTTTTCAGACCGATGAGCTTTGTAAAAATCGACACGCTTCAAAAAGGCGGGGCATAGAGGAGAAACAATAATGTACAGTATGTGGAAAATAATGTGTTTTTTGAACTTTAAAACGCATAAACACATTTCATTAGACCAAATACACTAAATAATGTTCTTTTTAGCAGCCTCATATGACCCCTTTAAAGGGGTCATAGGATGCCCATTTTCCACAAGTTTAGGGTCTTAATGAAAAGTCTGTAACATAGTTTGGTTCAAATTTCTCAATGGTAGTGTAAAAAAACACCTTTTTTACCCTGTCAAAAGAGCTATTTTCAGAGCAAGCCGTTTTTGTAGCATTTTCCTTTAAATGTTAATGAGCTCTGCTGACCACACCCCTCTCTTCCGAGCTGCTCTCAGAGAGACTGTTTTAGCCGCATTCATCGTGAAACTTGCTAATTAGCACATTATTAGGAAAGGCGATTTGCAAAGATTCATTACAAAACATTATACTCACTTCTTCTGTAAGTGAAGCTGGATCATGAATGATTTGTGCAAACATAGACGCATTTATGTAGATCGGGGGTGCATTCCTTTCAGAAACAATATAATCCACTGCGAGTTCAGTGGCTCAGATGTCGGGAGTAAATGACAACTGCTATGTTAACCCTTTATTTATTAAGGGTTATTACATCCAACAACAGAACACCTCAATCGCTTAGGAGTCATTCTTGTCTACATCTGCTCCGGCGGTGAAACCATGGCGGACTGATGACAGTTCACTCAGGGTGGGTCTAAGGTAAGACACCAGTCCAGTCTGTGCTGAAACGCTACTGTCAATCAAACTATTGTGGGAGGGGCCTGTCTGTGTGACGTCACACAGACAGGCATCTGAGATTGGCTCGATTTGAGAAAGGGGAAAACATTAACCAGATAAAAAAAAACACTGGGTGGATTTTTATCATTATAGGATGGTTGTGTATACACACTGCCAACACACATTTCAGTTAAAACAACTTGTAAATGTGCATGTAGCATCCTATGACCCCTTGTCAATGAAAATGCACATCACTAATAGCGAAATTTCCAAAACTATCTGTTGAAATTACATTTCAATTGACCCTTTGCAAAGACCCGCCCCCCTTTGTTACTGTTATGATGTCCGACAAGCCATGCCACTCTTACGCCACACATCATGTTCTCACGCAGTGAAAAATACATTGTGAAGCAAAGAGAATACTGACAACGCACCGATAGACAACACAGAGCAGGTTACTTTACGTATTAAATTTTTTTATTTTTTAAAGAAATTCAAACATTGAATACTGTTTTGTGGCTCTTAAATGTATTGTGACAGATCGCTGTAGCGGCATGTGAACCAATAATCTCTTCCTCTTCACTAGTTACAGCATGAAATAAACATGAATGAACATCAGAAGGTATCTTGTTTCAACCGCAGAAAGACGTCAATACACACAATTTTTCAAATTCAAGTCCACCAACGTTAATCTTCTCTCCTGTCTGGTTTGTTTGTTGCACAAAAATGACAGATTGATTGGTATGATTGATTGATTGGACGATATGATTGGTCAGATCGCCTGTCAATCAAACTCAATTACAATAGCAATAAAATCTGACAATCATGGTATCATAAATGTTGGTGCTTTACAGTAGCTCAAATTCAGGCTGTCTTCAATGATTTGCAGCCAACACTGCTATAGCGAAGGTGATATATTTATTTTTAAGAGAAGATATATTTATTATTAATAACTAAAAATTACGGTACACTTTTGCTTAAGTCTTCTATTTTTCAAGAGCAACAGACCCCAATCTCAAATTTTTGCCAAGATAGCAAAGTCTCCAATAAAAAGTCGGGTTTTGATATGAACTATATGAGGTTTCTCAATAACTTCTTCCCGGACCAAATGATCTGAGCTGTTACTTACATTCATTTTATATTTCTACTCTTACTCTAGTCAATGATTGTCTCAAGCTATGTTACTTACATTCATTTTATATTTCTACTCTTACTCTAGTCAATGATTGTCTCAGTTTAACTGTTGGAGGGACATCAGAGAAGAAGTTACAACAATGAAACATAACTGTGAACTCTAACAACATCTGCAGTCAAATTTCCCACTGAAAACACTTTTAGAAATAACTGAAAGATGTGTGTGTTTTAAAAAGCCTCTACTGTGATGCAAGCGCCTCACATCTGTTATCTGTGCATGAGTGACACAATGGCAACGCCCTATAATGCATTTTCAGTGTCTCTCTTTCAGCTTGGTATGACATACATACAGACAAATGGTCTGGCACAAGGCTCCGTTCACTGCAGTGACTGGTACTTATAGAGCACAGCATGTTAGAAGCCTCTCTGTCATCCTCCATCCCTCCAGAGTCTTTTGTACCGCAGTCATTCATTACTTTACATCAAAACACTATGATTACATGCTTGAAAAGGACAAAACAAACTTGACTGTTTGCATCGCAAGATGTCTATATAACATTTGGGAATTTAGGTCAGATCAGGTGAAGGTATTTCTGCATTTTGTCCATCTGTTACACATGAATGAATCTGATAATGTTGTCAAACAGTATGTCTTTTTTTTTAATGGACGATGATGATATCCATAGCAAGGTGGCTTATTGCAGATCTAATACCAATAATTTATCCAAATATAAATTCATACTGGTAAACAAATGTCCATTTTTCTTTGGACATCTCAAGTCTGTCAGCAGATTTTAGAGGTCACACTTTTGTCAGTTGGTCAAGCATTCATGGTTAATGGGTGATAAATATAATTAAATGGCTAACTATTGGCAATTTAATCATTTGGTTGATATACTGTATATCTTTCACTCAGATACTCAAAACAACTAATAGTAATCACAAAACAATTATGTAACATAATAGATTTATTTCCCAGGCAAGTTCACCATTGGCTTGCAGCGTACAAACGGTTACGTGAACAGTGTGCTGGATGAACTGCATGAGTTCATTCTAACTTAGGTGTACGTCTGTGTTTGAGGAATGAACTGTGCAACTAAAATGAACTGATGTCACTGAGTAAATATGCATTTTCCTGATAGACTTTGGCTACTGTGAGAAAAAGGTCTGATTTGACTTCTGGAATGTACAAGAGGCAGTGAGGAAAGGGCAATGACAACTTTTATACTTCGATAAAGCAGAAAATTTGATGTAACTACATAAAATTTTAAGCACAAATGATATAAATGTGAAAGCATAAAATTAAACGTCTATTTAATTAACATGTCACATGGCTATCGTGGTTATTATAACTAAAACTTGCGTAAAAAGTAATAAAATGTAAAAAACTTTAAACTTATTTGATTTCAGCTACTTGCCAAGAAAACATTTCTCATTTTCACTTAGTTCACCTTGATGTAATAAAATAAGTATACAACTAAAACTGAAATAAACATTAATAAAAACTATACAGACACTAAAATACAAAACAAAACATTTAACACTTTACAATGAGGGTCCATTAGTTAATGTCAGTTAATGCATTGACTAATATTAACTAACAATGAGAAATACATTTGTTATGGTATTTATTAATCTTTGTTCACGTTAATGAATAAAAATACAACTGTTCATTGTTTGTTTATGTTAGCCACATTCTATAATGTAATTCAAAAATATTAACAAAAGCTATAATATTTCAATTATACTAAAATAACATGAAATTATGAGGTACAGTATATATACACTACCGGTCAAACGTTTGGGATCAGTAAGACTTGTAATGTTTTTGAAAGAAGTCTCTTATGCTCATCAAGGCTGCATTTACTTGATCAAAAATACAGAAAAAAACAGCAATCTTGCAAAATGTTATTACAATATAAAATAATGGTTTTTATTTTAATATCCTTTAAAATATAATTTATTTCTGTGATGCAAAGCTGAGTTTCCATCAGCCCTTACTCCAGTATAAAGTGTCACATAATCCTTAAGAAATCATTCTAATATGCTGATTTATTATTAGAATGATCAATGTTGGCAACAGTTGTGCTGCCAAATATATATATATTTTGGAAACTGCGATACTTTTTTCAGGATTCGTTGATGAATAAAAAGTTAAAAAGAACAGCATTTATTCAAAATATAAATCTTTTCTAACAAATATATATATACAGTATATACACACACACACACACACACACACACACACAGACAGAGATAATAGAATATAGATAGATAATAGATCAAACATCATTCTTTTTGCTCCAATCTAACTTTAGGCGAATTCTCAAGTTGGACTATTTGCTTAATCATTGCTAATGTTCTCCCTTGAAATTCAAGGTAAAAGTTCTATTTCTGTGCCACTAGCTGTTTCCTACCCAAACACTCCCACCTCACAGCTACTAAACAGCTTATTACAGATAGTCCCGCCCCAAACTCATGCTATTGGTTGAGCCATAAGTTGGCATTTCAGACTGCTCAAACAAATAGAGCAGTGTTTTGACAGAGCCACATAGCTTACATGCCTCTAGAAGTCAACAAATGACTTGCTTGGAGTTGTTGTTTCTGCATATTAAATTGGGATAGAGGAGAGAATTTTGACATCAAGATGTTTAAAGCCTCTTGGTGTCACTGACACCTTCTTATAAGCTGTCTACTACAGCACCATGTTTTCACTCAGCATCCCCAGACTGTAAGAAGGAAAGGTACATCTCTTACCTGCTATCTTCATATTCATGTGAGCATCCAGTAACAAGTTTTCAGCCTTCAGGTCTCTGTGAACAATATTGCGTTCGTGGCAGTACTCCACCGCTGAGAGGATCTGCCAGAACTTCCTCCTCGCATCCATTTCGCTGAGCCGCCCGCGGCTGGCCAGGTAGTCTGTGTTGCCAGACAGGGATCAGGTGTTATTGGGTCGTCATCTGCACATCCAGGCAACATGTCACAGTCATGAATTTTTCATGAAAATGGTATGCAGATTGTGACAATGAGCAGGGAAACATATGTTTAACAGTGCTGCTCATAGACGTCCTGATTAAATACTACATTGGACAATGTTGCCAATATAAAAAAGCATACAAAATCTGTTGAAAAAGTTTACATTTTACAAGTTTGTAGACGTACAGTACTGTTAAAAAGTTAAGGGTTGGTAAGATTTATTAATGTTTTTGAATGAAAGTCTCTTATACTCTGCATTTATTTGAGCAAAATTAGTAAAACTGTAATATTGTAAAAATATTTTCACAATTTCAAATAACTGTTTCTATTTTAATGTTTTTAAAATGTAATTTATTCCTGTGATGCAAAAGCTGAATATTTAGCAGTCATTGCTACAGTTTTACGTGTGACGTGATCCTTCAGAAATAATTCTAATATGCTGATTTGAAATATATCTCATTATCAATGCTGAATACAGTTATGGTGCCTAATGTTTTTGTGGAAACTGTGACAGTTTCTGAAATATTAATTTGTAGTTTTATTAGATTTTATGAAAAAATATACTCATCACAGAAGAAGTCTATTCAAGTCAATGTAGATATTGAATTGCATTTTTAATGTATTTTTTTAATGAATTAATAAAACCAGACTATTTTTATTTCAATTTAACTTGTAGTAATTTCATCAGCTTTTGTCATTTTTATTATTTTTTCTAAACATGTCTATTTAGCCTGAATTTATTTTTATTTCAGTTTTAGTTTGAATAAATTTAGCACTTCAACTCATTTCAGTTAGTTGCCAAATCAACATTTATTTTCTATTTTTCATATAATATTTGTGTATTATTTCATTGCAGCTTTATTTCAATTAACACAAACAATTTTGAATATTGTTTGTTTTAGTTGACAACACTGGTTCAGAAAGTGTTGTCTTCTAAAGTTACAGTATGTTTTCTTAGTACATTGAGCTCTTTTATCTAAAAAGATAAAGGGAAATTTAATTCCTGAAGATAAGACTCTTTTAATAGCACATTATTTTCTCATGTCCTCTTTCATACATACATAACAGGTGTTTGCTTAATACCTTTTGCCATGCCAGACTGATGTAAATATGCAACTAACAGCTTTTCATGAATTTCAAATCCAACAAAAACAACCTGAAGCAAGCAGCATATATTCATGCTCTCCAAAAACGAAAGGCCAACCTGTCATCCACAGCCGACCACACATTCAAAACAGGACCTGACTGTCAGCCATGCCTACTTCAGATGCGAGCCGAGTGCTGATAAAACAGCAGTCCTCTGAGTTAATCAGCTGACAAGGCCATGGAGATGCCAGTTGCTCGTGTATGCATGTGCGCGCCATACGGCCCATGTGTTAGGGACATGTAGGAAACTTCAAAGGAAGCGCTGCGAATGCGAGGCAGTGTAAATGGGATAGTATGATATTGAGTTGACAGATGGCTTCACATCCCTATGGACTGACTATATGACAACGCGTCATTTGCACCCAGCAGTTAGTATAAGGAAACTGAACATCTAATCTGTATCATAATGACGTGTGAAATTTAGAACCTTCTTACAACAAAAATGGAACTTCTCTCCAAGATCCAGAATGGAGCGAAATATGGAAAAAAAAGAAATTGGTGAGCAGATCTACCATTATAAAGCTTTAGAGGTGTGAAAATATAGATATTCAATAAATAGGAGACTGACAAAAGTTCAAATAAAAAATGACAATCACTTTATTGGATGAATCAGTTCATCTCTACACTTCTGTAGAATTTTATGTAAAGAGAATTGTGATATCGAGCAACTTGGTGGTCATCAGCCTCCTCTCAGGTACAAACTATCAACAGCAGCAGATATAAAAAGATCAACTGCAAGACACTCCATGTGGAGAAAAAGAACATGCTTGTAATTGAAGGTGGAACCAGTCTTGTGTTAAGAATTGGACAGCAGTTCTAAACTTCACTTTGTCATTGTCATAAATAAGTAACTAGGTAATTAGCTTCCAAATCAACTTCTAGTATAACTTGTGTGGAGACCAAAATGTTTAACTGCAACATTTATGCTTAATAGATAAAACTTAAGATCTTAAGTCCCATCATGCAAAGTGCTAAATATCTAAATAAAAAGCCAAAAACCCAACCTTTTGGTTTTTAAATTGTATTGGCTTCTGTTGAACTTTATTCTTGTACATGGCACTACATTAAGCAGTACATGAACAACTGATTGAAAAGTTTCTGTTTCTTCATGAAAATGCCTATAACATCTGTGTATTTGACAAATATTGCATCTAATCCACTTCATCTGTGATAAAGTATATGCAACACAGTGCAAGTGTCACTATGTGAAAGAAGAAAGTGTCCAACTTCATGTCTTTGTTTTCAAAAAATCTTGTCGATCCGTTAAAGTCAGCTCAGTTAAGCACATGTATTTAAATAGTACTAAGTTGCACTGTTGTCACATGATCTTAGTATTTTTTATCACATGGCCTCAGCATTTTATGTAAAATATCTTGTGGCAGTCTGAAAAGTTTTTTTTTTGGAAGCTCAGTGCATTGGAATTTACTTTTGGAAGCTCAGTGCATTGCGGGATACAACAGTGGTTCTCAACACTGTTTTTTCTAGGACATCAAGAGTACCAAATACAGTACCTAAAGTGTATTGCACCAAATTTTTTTTATTTATTTATTATGGTTTCATGCTCTCTAAGCCAATAATTCACCACACAAAACTCACTGTGTTCAGCACAAACACAATCCATGTTTATCTTCAATGCATGTTTATCTTTTTAAAGGATGAGAGCATGATACACATGCTGATCATGTTTGATTGGATGCACATCCTTTTACGTCAACAAAAATAGATATTGAAAACATTTTCCCTATACTTGCATTGAAAGTCAGACCATGCCTGTCTGTTGTTTTCAATATGCCTAAAGACAAACCATGTTCAGATTCATCAGTCCAAACATTTCTGAACATTTTCTGCATAAAACAGCAGTGTACCAAAGAAAGATGTAACCAATCACAAACATGTAACCAATCCTGTCATCTTGCGAGTTTGGGCTTTTCATATCATTCTTCCTATGGACACTTTATACAGGTGCATCTCAATGAACATACTTTCCAGAAGGCCAACAATTCACTAAAAATGTTTTTTTTATTGGTCTTATGAAGTATTCTAATTGGTTGAGATAGTGAATTGGTGGGTTTTTGTTAAATGTGAGCCAAAATCATCACAATTAAAAGAACCATAGACTTAAACTACTTCAGTCTGTATGCACTGAATTTATTTAATACACGAGTTTCACAATTTGAGTTGAATTACTGAAATAAATGAACTTTTCCACGACATTCTAATTTATTGAGATGCACCTGTATTAGGTGATTAGAGAACACATATTCACTATTAACCCACAGTGAACTCCTAATTTGCTGCATATTAATAGTTAGTAAGGTAGTTGTTAAGTTTAGGTATGAGGTAGGATTAAGGGATCTAAAATACAGTCATGCAGAATAAGGCATTAATATGTGCTTTATTAGTACTAATAAACACCCAATATGCAATATGCATGCTAATAATCAACTTATTAATAGTGAGAATTGGTTCTTTTAACTACTATACTTGGTTTGGTTGGTTTTTAACTACTATACTTAAGTCCAAAAAAAATATTGTTAGGTATAATTTTGTGTTGATGTTGAATTGCAAAACACTTTTGCTGCTATTTAGGTGGGATATAGCTACGGTTAAGGAAAGGTTTGGTGGTATGGTATCTTGCTAGAGTTTATTGTCATTTCTAAATCATGTTACTTGCTACCAAGTGTCTGTTAGAACAAAATACGGGAGTAGAAAAGACTGAATGCGCATACAGTAAGCGTTTTGTGCAGCATGATATCTATTTTGTTGTTTTTGTTGTTGTTGCCTCATAAAAAAATGTGCATGCATTTAAAAGAAATGTCTTTTAATTTTATAGTATATATATATATATATATTTACAAAGCAAAAACATAAAAGTAAATCAAATGATTGTAACAAATGATCAAATGATTAATTAAATTAATTTAATTTAAATGTAAGTACACAGTAAATATAAAGTGGGCCCCTTCAGTTAACTGAGTGAAAGTGGAGCTGTTGTAAATGAGGTAAAACAATTAATTTCAAGCCATATTAGGACATGAAGAAAAAAAAAAGTTTAGATATGTCATTTTGATTACCAAATATGAGTTTTAAATTAAGGGATCAAATTAGTGACTGTAAGGGGACTTTAAAAAACGGGCAGATCTAATTATTCTGCTATCCTGAATATGCACAGTTATATGGTTAGTTACATATTATGCAACTGCAGTCCGTGACCTTATGAGAACAGACCTGATATTGTGACCGTATTCCGTAAACAGTATTCCACATAGTGTGATCTCTGGCATACTGTACATTTTGGCAAATGTAATATTCCATATTCACATACAAGCATACTGTACATGGCAGAAAGAGTAGGCTGACGTATGTGCGCTATGAACACAGCACACATGCCGTCAAATACAAGCAGTATATTAAGACAATAACTGAGGACGTACTGGCAAAATCACAAGGATGTCTCTGTAAATTATTATCTTATTCTTCTTTTTTTGGCAGCAGCTGTCATATCATATTCTCTCACTTGCTTTGTCAAAGACAGCCTCCTTAATGCCTCCTTAATGAGGCTATAAATCTCATTCACTGTCTTTCAAGTATGACGGTAGCGTTACTGCACGAGGCTGTTATGGGTGAGATGATTGTTTCTTTGGTCACATAGCTCTCATCTAAATCACCAGGACCTTTTTCCATTACAGGTGACACCGCTAATCATCACAGCACAAAAAATAGCATGTGCTCAGCTCATCCATTAGGGTTTAAGTGAGTGAATCAGTGTATTGATGGACGAAATATGCAGAAATGTGGTATGACCAATGATCTCAATCCAGTGCAGACATGTATGTACTGCACACGCAATACTTAGAGGGGTCATATGATGCGATTTCAAGTTTTCCTTTCTCTTTGGAGTGTTACAAGCTGATTGTGCATAGATAAGATCCCTGAAGTTGCAAAGACTAAAGTCTCAAAACCAAAGAGATATTCTTTATCAAAGTTAAGACTCTGCCACGCCCCCCTAAAACGGCTCGTTCTAACACGCCCCCACATATCTACCTCACTATGTGGAAATATTAGCATAATGCCGCCCAAATGTTCACGCAAAGAGAGAGAGAGAGAGAGAGAGCGAGACACATCACAGTGGAGTCAGCTATCTTAACCGTGGCTTGTGTGCTGCAAATACATATTCATCACTGTGTCTGTCACGCGACTCTGTTCCCCTTTCGGGCTCTGTCTTTACATTTATTTTGAAAGATGAAGCTCGAGATTATGATAAGGGACGTTACATTTCCGACGAGTGCATGCGGTGTTCGGCCACTCACAATGCACTGGGTCAGCTGGCCAATCAGAGCAGACTGCACTTGTCGGAAGGAGGGACTTTGTAGAAAACGAAGCGTTTGAGAGAGGCGGGGCATAGAAGACCTACAATAATGCACAGTTTTTGAAAAATAATGTGTTTTTTGAACATTAAAGCATGCCAACATATTCTGTTACACCAAATACACAAAATAATGATCTTTAAAAAAGCATCATATGACCCCTTTAACAGTGCGGGGTGAGTATATGGATAAGTGAAATTAACTTTTGTTTGCACATGTATGGAAACGGATGCACTCACCAAATATCTCTCCATTCCTGGCATATTCTGTGACTAGATAGAGCATGTTTTTGGTCTCCATGACCTATTGAAAGAGAGGAAACCTAATTATTATTCATTGCATGATTATGGGAATGCAATTAATACCACAAATCACAAAAACCACAAGAGCACAAGAGAATGACAGCATTTTCACCTGCCACAAGTGTTCACAATTGGCTTCAAGTGAGAAAACAATGCTACATAATTTTTTTGTGTGAGCCAAAGGAGAAGATGACAAGTGATTCACACAGCTATTTTCTCTACGCTGCTGTCCTCTCTGAGCACGCTAACAAAAGTATCATAGCATAACCTTGTCTTTTGGACATGTACCATGGTATTGCCATCTCTGAAGTACACTGGAGTACCATATTATAATACTGTGGTACATGATAGTAGCAATGATTCAGTACAATGGTATACGAAACTATCAAACATTTTAAAAAATGTATATTCCTCACAATATAAAAATTTGAGCTTGAGACTTTACACTTACAATACAATACCATAACAATTAATACAATAAATATAATAATAAAAATATATAAATTTTGTAAATTAAATAATTGTACTAATATTTATTGATTATTATTGTTCTTTTATTATTTTGAATAATAATAATAATATTATTTTGGGCACAACTACTTATTTTTTTTTTCAAACAAATTATTAAGTGAACCAGTGAATAATAATAATAATAATATGCATTATGACGTTACTGTTAATTTTATATTTATTGTTATTACCATATTGACCCGAATATAAGACGATATTTTTTTCTTGGAAATACATCTGATTTTTAATAAACAAATTTCTGTATGGCAAGTCAAAGTCAGTATGGTGACACCAACATGAAGAAATCCATAATGTCATGTGACAAAAAACAGGGGACCCCCTTTAGAGCGTTTTTTCATTTAAATTTCACAAAGTATTTTGACTTTTTAAATGCAACTCACATTTTCAAAGTCAAATAGAGTAACCCCAAGAAATCATAATAAAATAATAAAAACTCATTATATATGTATACATTACATATCATATATGAACTAAAACTTGCACACTGAGTATTTTGTTTTATAGTTTTATATTTTATTTGATTATTTTTAGTTGATAATTACACCACGTGACATAGTAAAAGTCATTACATCTTTTCTTTGTGCAAAACTGTATAAACGCTTTTCAGAAATGTATGAAGTAACCGTGAGTACAAATACAGCATTACGATATAAGAACTTAGCACATGTGTTTTAAACTGCATTTTAAAGATGTTTCTATTTTTCATCTCGCAGATCACATTTGACACAGACTCAAATACAACTTCCAAATATTTAGGCTCAACATTTTCTATAGATAGGCTATTCTCCTACAATGATAAAAGTGAAAATGTAAGTTTTTTTGATTGCACAAACGCATGTAAATCGAAAACACTAGTGTGTGAGTCAACGTGTGTGTGTGTGTGTTACTCACCTCAGATTTCGTGATACGATGTCTCGCCAGCTTCACAACTGCAAAATTGCCTTTTCCCAGCGTGCGCTCAATATCATAAAATCCCACGCGAACCGGAGCCCGCTGCGACGGCTTTTGGTCCTGGGCGGCCATGACCATAGTTTTCTAGTGAACTACTGGATAAAGAGGTGTGTGGATGATTTGGCCACCTTCACCTGCTCATACAAAGCAATTCAAGTGGCAGGTATGATTTTGTTTCTAATGCCAAAGCTAAAATGCAAATGGGGCATATGGGTGCCAAGGGCTCCTGCACATGTCTTCGTTTCCAGATAAGGGCTCTAACATGACTGAAATGAGAGCGCATTCCGCTCTGATGCTCGGCATGAGCAATGATGTTCTGGCGCTCGAGCTCGACATGCATTGACGTCAGTGCTGAAGGGATTTTATAAAGGGGCGGATCTCACAAAGCGGCTTCAACGTCCGAGACCAGCGTATCACCAAGACAACCTTATCCACTGCGTACGTCAATCAGTGGCTATTGCAGTCTCTACAAACACTTTCAACTCCGTTGCTTACATCTGACCTTCGAAAACCCAAATGCATTTCATTGTTTAGAATCACTGAAAAGATCCTGCACGCGACACCATACCACAAGTAAATATAAGTACGGATTTTTATGAATTTGGGCTGCATGCATTTTTCATAGACGACTGATTTTGCTTAATGCGTGAAAAAAGAAAAGAAAGAAAGAAAAGAAAACAGGCATAGATACTAGAGGGAGCTCCGTGCTTGAATTGCAGCTGACATCATTGCATTGCTTCATATTTTGAATTGATTTGTTTGTCTTTTTTGTGTTTATTTAACACCGCAGTGTGGAAACGGAACCCTAAAAACATAACAACAACGATGATAATACTACTACTACTACATGTTATTATTATCCACTATTGTTGTTTTATATTTTTGTGACTTTATAGGGTCTAAAACATTGACAAGTAATGTATGTCAATGCACATATGCATATAAAGATAATATTGTGTCTATTATGTATATTTTAGAATAACAACTTTGATTACACATGAAATATTACTATTTGGAGTGAAAATATTCTAGAATTTCTTTTTAATTTAAAATGTACATTTTTCAAATAAATAAAATATATGTTTTAAAATGCATATAATGTTGTATTTTATTAACATATATTTGTACATTTATTTAAACATCTGTAGATCTGCACATCTACGCTCACAGGGCTCTGAGCATGTTGTCAGAGAGCGACCCCTGCTGTCAAAAACGCTTACTGCTGTTTTTAACCACACATGTACAGTACATAACTATAGATGGTGATGCCGAAATATGGAAGTAAAAATGTTTAGTTTCAACTTCATTCATTTGTTTGTTTATTAAGGCTTCACATCACTGCATTCACATTCCGATATTTGCATATAAGAAACTTGAAGGATGTTTGATCATTCACAGGAAAAGACAGTCTGCAAGAGATTGTCACAGTGTAATTACTGAGCCCCATACAGCACATCCAGTAAAAGCAGCATAACAGGGTCATGCAAACCAACCAGTGAGGGCAAACAAGCTATCTCATATCTGAGCATCTCATTCTGATTTGTTGAGCAGCTTGTTTGTAATATTGTACCACCTTTGAGTGTCTATCCTCCAGAATTTGGCTTTAAGATGCATTAAAAACACCTAAGTATTACTGCATCACTGTTATAGATATTTTATGTGTCATAGGAGCCTATAAAAACTAAAATCATAATACAAATAATAAAAAAAAGAAATGGGCAAATTACATCTGATAATCATATGGGACCCGTAAACTTCAGATGTTGTTGCACTGAAAGTCTGACTGAATTAATGGTAGATCTGCAGAAATCTGGGTATTGGTTTCTCTAATCAGGGTTATAATACTTTGAAAATAAAATTCAAACCATAAAAATGTAGCCTACTTACTTTAAAGTAATCACTAAGTGAAACTAAATATTTAAAAAACTTTACATTTAAATCTGTTTTAGCTAATGTTATTTCAGCCAAAGCAACAATGATCATTTTCGTTTAGTTTTAGTAGCTTATTAAAAAAAACGAAAACGAAATAAACTGAAACTATAAACTAAAACTTATAAACTGTATTGAAAAAACCCTAACTAATAATAATAAAAAATGCTAAAACTTTAACAAAAAATTAAAACGAAATGGAACATATAAATATAAATCGAATTCCTAATATTAACAAAAACTATATGAACAAAAACACAAACTAACGGTTTATGAATGATACTAAAATAACACACGCTCTCATTCATTCAATACAGTACAGGGTACACACATCCAGGCCTCTTTTGAGCTCTAGCGTCCTCCTGATTTGATAACCTATACTGAAATAGATAATATTGGATATCTGGCACCAAGGAAATACTCGGGTAAGACATTATTTTTACAGGAGAATATGCAGTTAAATGCTAATGTTCACCTTTCATATCAGTAGCCATATAATTCATCCATCCATCCCTGGTCTCTGTAATATCTCCCACTTCCACGGCCTTGCAGTGTGTCATACAAATCGTTGGTCACAAAGCCGCTCTCAGTGCTGGTCAGCGTCACAAAACCACTTTCAGTGTCCCGGCCTGCCAAGTTGTCGTAATCTCCAGGTGGAGTGTCTGGAGAAGAACCCAGGAAGGAAGTGTTCTTGATGTCAGGCCGCGTGCCGGCCAGGTCTGATTCATGCTGCCTTCGGATGACGTTATAGACGTCAGGGCTTGGGCTGTTGCATCTTTCTCCAGCGGCCCAGTATCCTGGCTCATTTGGAGGGGTCTCAGTCTGTTGTTTCTTCCTGCATGCATAAATGATGTTGTATGCCATCAAATTGATCATATTTAAAATGCTTCTGATCAGAAAGAGAGCAGTCAAACAACGCACCTCTTTGTGAACAGCTTAAAGCAGAAAACACTCGTCGCCACAATCAACAGTAGTCACAAAGCCGCTCTCAGTGCTGGTCAGCGTCACAAAACCACTTTCAGTGTCCCGGCCTGCCAAGTTGTCGTAATCTCCAGGTGGAGTGTCTGGAGAAGAACCCAGGAAGGAAGTGTTCTTGATGTCAGGCCGCGTGCCGGCCAGGTCTGATTCATGCTGCCTTCGGATGACGTTATAGACGTCAGGGCTTGGGCTGTTGCATCTTTCTCCAGCGGCCCAGTATCCTGGCTCATTTGGAGGGGTCTCAGTCTGTTGTTTCTTCCTGCATGCATAAATGATATTGTATGCCATCAAATTGATCATATTTAAAATGCTTCTGATCAGAAAGAGAGCAGTCAAACAACGCACCTCTTTGTGAACAGCTTAAAGCAGAAAACACTCGTCGCCACAATCAACAGCATCAGAAGTGGGATGGTTGGCAGCACAATGTAAGCAATATTAAGAACGTTGTCTGAAAGACATGCAACAGGACATTGGTTAGTGTGAACAATAAAGTCTTTATTTACACTTCTTTTCCAAGTTTGGGGTTGGTAAGATTTTTTTCATATTTTTGAAAGAAGTATCTAATGCTCACCCAGGCTGCAGTAATATTGTGGAATTTTTACAATATAAAATGATTGTTTCCAT